CTGTTCTCATTTAATCTTTAAACCAGCCATAAGAGATAATTAGTATTACTATCCCTGGTTTGCACTTTGGGAAACTGAGGAACAGAGAAATTAAGTAATTTGTCTGAGATTGCTTATGGAGGAGACAATGAGTGTTTGCCACTGTTCAGTTCTGTATATCTTATGCCACCTAGCACAGTTCCTTGCCCATAATAGGTACGCAGTAACCCAGGTAATTTTGAATGGAATCAGAACATGGACTAGCATGAAGCCATGTTACTGTGGATGGTGGTTTTTGGGAGGAGAGGCCCATATGGAGTCACTGAAAACCCCTGCAGGATTCCTGAAGCCACTGGGTTTATAAAGATGTGCTTTCTGCTTCTAACTTAGTAGAGCATCCATCTGATTTACGGAAATGTGGAAAAAGAAGTAGAAAAGCCTTTAAAGGTTTTACTTCACAACACCTGCTCTGCTGTATTAAGGTGAAGGGATAAAAATTGGATTACTATTTTTAGTTACTTAAGAGTATCATTATTAAAATGCTGTTATTTATGTAAAATTTGTAACTGATGATTTTCCATTTTTTCTTGTTAGAGCAATAGAGTTCCTCAGAAGTTTCATTATAAAAACAAGAAACTTGGTTTAGTGATATAACAAATCAAATTAGGTGGGATAAGTTGTTTGGGGGCTGGGTGACTTTAATGGGTAACAATTATAAAGGCTAACATAATCGATCTGGCAGTTTTAGAAGATGTTAACGTTTAGGTTTGATTAGGTTTCCTAGGACATCTGTTGTGCACCTGGGAAGTGAATTGTTTCTTTAGTCTTTCATTTTCATCCAGGTGAAGAATCTAGATTAAGGAATATCCTCATGTAGAAAGTTATGTGGGAAAACCTTCTATTTCAGAAATGAACAGTACATTAATAGTGAGAAGAATAAACAGAGCCCTTTTTTTCTTCTTACAAACTCTGGGCCCTTAACTACATTAGTATTTGTTGTGATTTCTAACGTGACTAGAAATCAGTGCTAGTCAACTCTGGGGAAAGGACTTGGTGAAGCAGAGAAAAATTAAAACTGATGGTGAGAAAGCAGGTTTAGTTTTTATGGCCGTAGTTATCTGTGTACTCTCCACCCTCTTGACTGTGGATAATTGAGAGTGGCTGGTTATTCTGTCCAGGTCATTGTGATTGACAAGTTACAGTTGTGGACTTTGCCAAATCATAAGCTCAGGAATAAAAATAATCTATATTATGTATTCAGATTCAAAAAAGATTGACTTTCTAAGTTAGTTGCTGTTTTGGGGAAGAGAATGCTATCACCGTAAAGTTGTGAATTATGAAAGACATTTCTGTTGGGTTACTGAATGTCCCTTGGGGTTTTTTTCATTTATAACATTGCCTCAGGCCTTCTGCTGCATCCTGTTGGAATGACCTTCTTTTCAACTCTGTGCTGGCAGCTGTAATATGGCTTTTTCCCCTGAATCCTTCAGGCTTGTCACATGACAAACATGAACTGTGACCCCTTTGTTCCTTACTCAGATGATTAGGTCTCTTTTTTTCTTCTGTTTAACAATTTTACCTTATTGTCTTTCCTTTCCCCCGCTCTGCTTCCATGTTAATTTCCTCCTGAGGCAAGGTTTTTGGGGTAGCAATTTAATTTTTTTATTGAAATATAACATGAATATAGAAAGTATACAAATCATAACCTCACCGTATTTTCACAGCATGAACACATTCATGTAGGCAGTAGTAAGATCAAGAAGGAAACATCACCAAACTCCAGAAAACCGCAGTCTCCTTGTAATCACGTTTCACCTCCCTCATGGAAACACACTCTCCAGATTTTTTTTAGCTTTGCCTCATTGAGACTTGGTAGAAATCGAATCATACAGTATGAATTCCTTTGTGTTTGGTTCCTTTCATTTAACATTTTTGTGTTACTCTTTCATGTTAGCCAGTCATTATTGCTGTGTATTATAACATGGTATGACTATTCCACAATTTATTGTACTCTTTATGGCCACTTGGATTATTTCTAGCTTAGGACTCTTGTGAATAGTAGTCATCCTTATACATATCTTTTGATGAACCTATGGCATATTTCTGGGTGGCTATTTACATAGATGTGGAATTGCCAAGACATTGTGTCTATCTAGCCACTTATTTTAAAATTTCATATAAAACACTAAAGTACTGATTTTAGGTAAACACTTGGAAGATTTATAAACATACGGATGCAGTTTTAGCATAATATATCTAATTTATGGCTAAAGAAATTGCCTCTAGTTAAATGTATTGTAGTTGTTTTTTGCTTTTTGAGACAGGGTCTTCACTGTCACCCAGGCTGGAGTACACTTGGCTCACTTCAACCTCTGCCTCCCAGGTTCAAGCAGTTCTTCCACCTTAGCCTCCCGAGTAACTGGGATTACAGATGCACAGCACCACGCCCTGCTTATTTTTGTATTTTTTGGTAGAAATGGGGTTTCATCCTGTTATCTGGGCTGGTCTCAAACTCCTGACCGCAAACTCCTGACCTCCTGACTTGGCCTAAATATATTGTGGCTTTAAACAGGTTATTCCTGTAAACAACAAAATTCTCACTGCCAGTTACATGTTTTAGTAACTTTCTTCCTAATATGTACTTTCTTTCAATTTTCCAAACAAAGCTGAGCTTTTGGTCCCATTCTGCAAAAATCTTATGAAGATGTTTTGATGGTAATAATTTACCATGGTTAAGATTACATCTGAGTTACACCATCTCTGAGTGTTCAGAGTGACATGCTAGTGCTTCACTGCAAGGCTTAGCCAAAGCTCCAGAGGCTTACACTTGCACAAATTGCATTCATTACCAATAACCCTGCAGAAGTAGTGAGAGACTGGCTCTATATACTGTAGATGGGCTCTGGGGTAAGTAGCCAAACAGTTATGCAGCTGAGACCAATCTTTTCTTCCTTTTAAAATGTGGACTTTCCAAAATTTTTTCCATGGATACTTAAGCACAAGTTTAACCTATTGGGTATAAAAATATGACTACGATATCGTATTCCTCAAAAACTGGCTAGTATCTCTTAAAGAAGTTTTATTTGACCATCAGATAAAGTATCCCCTAAGTCATGCTGTGAACATGCATGGAATTAAGTTTGACTGATTCTGACTATGGTGTTTGGGAGACCTTAAAGAATTTCCTTCCCCTCCATCAAAACAAAACAAGAAACCCAAAAAGGTGGAAGGAGTAATTAAAATTTAATGGTTATAAAAAGTAACAGAACCAGATTTTCTTCCTGTGTTAGGTAAATATCTTTCCTTATGTATGTCTTTTGGGTGGATGAAAAAGAGTTGCCAGTCCTATTGAGACGTTTTTTGAAACAAAGGATTTCGTTTTGAAACAAAGGTAAAAAAAAAATTAAAGCGTTTCAGTTTTACAAAATTATCCTTTGAGAGTTCTATGTTTTTCTTTTCTTTCAGTTAAAAGTAATAGTGTATAGACATATTGGTAAACATATTCAGAAAACTGTCTTAATATAGGATTGTTGTGTTTTTGTCATTTTAAAATGACATTTAGAATTCATCTTGTTCTATTTTAAACCAGTACATTCAATTTAGAAAATATTGCAGACAACCTGTGTTGTTCTATGTACTCTGCTAAGCCCTAGAGGAGACGGAAACCATAGTTCTTCTCTTCAGAAAGCTTATGGTCTAGTGGGTATGTGGTGATGGTGGGAGCATATACTAATTACTATAATACAATGTAAGATAATTGCCACAGTGAAATTTCCTTGGATGAGAGACAGGTAGACCCATTTGAAATGGGTCTTAAAAGCTGAGTAGATTGGCCTAGAATGGCCTCTTTGCTGATCTCTGCCTGTTGGCAGAGAAGCCATGTGGCTGCAGTTAAGATGTCTTGTAAAGGAGCAATGGGAAGTGAGGCTGGAGAGAAGGAAGCCAGGGTGATGAGTTTATATGTGATACAGGGGATAATATAGCACAGTGGTTAAGAGCACTTACTTTATTTTTATTTTTTTGAGATGGAGTCGCTCTGTTGCCCAGGCTGGAGGGGAGTGGCACTATCTCGGCTCACTGCAGCCTCCGCCTCCTGGGTTCAAGCTATTCTCCTGCCTCAGCCTCCCTAGTAGCTGGGATTATAAGCACACGCCACCACACCTGGCTAATTTTTGTATTTTTAGTAGAGATGGCATTTCTCTATGTTGGCCAGGCTGGTCTCAAACCCCTGACCTCGGGTGATCCACCCTCCTCAGCTTCCCAAAGTGCTGGGATTACAGGCGTGAGCCAGTGCGCCCAGGCAGAGCACTTACTTTAGCTCAAACAGCTCAACCTTGCTGTGTGACCTTGAACAGATTGCTTAACCTATTTAAGCTCAGTTTCCTCATTTGATAAATGGGACCAGCGCTCATATAACTGACTGCAATTTTTGTATGATAGAAAAGAGATAATATATGAAAAAAGCTCAGCATAGTTCTCAAGAAGCTGCTCTGAGCAGTGGGGAACCATTGAAGATTTTGGAACCATGGCCCAGTGGGATCTGAACTGTGAAGGGCTTTCATTGTTATTTTTATTATTGACATACAAAAGACTGCATACATTTTAAGTATATATTTGATAGATGTTTATGTATGCATATACCTATGAAATCATCACCACAATCAAAGTGGTAAACACATCTATCACTCTGAAAAGATGCATGAAAGACCTTTAAAGAGGAAAGTCTGACCTGCAATGTGCTGGAAAAAATGGAGCAAAGTAGAGCCTGGAAATGAAGAAACCAGTTCAGAGGCTTCCCATACTCCAGGTGAGAAGGAAAGAATGAATGACGTCAGGAGATAGGCTTAGTGGCCATTTCAGACTGGCTGCTGGAGGACAGGGTTAAGTCTTCATCTTTACATTATCTCCAGTACCTAACCCAGTGACCAGATGGTAGTGGGCTCTTACATGCTAGAATCGACAGGCTGTCCCTTTATGAAAGATTTTTATTTTAAATTGCTTTTCCTTTTATTCTTTTTTAGGGCTTAAAAGACAACCTTCTTGCTTCGGGGACATCCAGCCTGACAGCCACCAAACAGTTGCTTCGTCCAAGAATCACGAGAATCTGCCTCAGGGACCTGATATTTTGTATGGAACAGGAACGGGAGATGAAGTATTCTCGAGCTCTATACCTGGCTCTTCTGAAGTGACCACTCCACTCTCCATCCAGATTCTTGCTATTTACTGCCAAAGAAGACACAAAGAGCATTGTTGCACTGTCCTGAAATTTCAGTTTCTGGAAAATAATCACCAATACAAAAGAGCATTGTTTACAGTTAGAAATTTTATCAAGTCTTACCTATCCATCCCATGGGCTCTTACAGACTAGAATTTGTCTCTGTCTTCTGAAAATCAGTTATGAAATACATTTTGCACAGAATTAGGCATCTGCCTACCTGTGCATTTAATTACAGCAAGTTAAGACCCTGTTTGTTACCACCTGCCTCATTTGCCAGATTGTAACAGGTGAGGTGTCCTTCCCTAATGCAGTGTGCATTGAGATGCTGGAGAAAGGAAGAGGCACTACAGGAAAACACAAGAATGACGATTTCATTCTATATTGAACCTGTTCCAAAGTGGTAGGTGTTCTGGGCTGGAATCAGAAGTTACTTAGCTAACTATGACAGTCACCTTCTGTACATGACAGGCCACAGAGTAGGGCTTGTGGTGACTTTGGTTGTCTGAGTCCCAGTGTTGTCAAAATGAGACAAATGGGGAAAAATCGCTTGGGGTTGCTAATTCATGACATGCTTCATGTCACCATGTGCTGTTTCTGATACCAAGTGAGGGGACATCCTTGTCAGGGAAACCTTAAAATTGAATCTACCGATACATCTTATTGAAAAAAATGGAGAAGGTGGAAAGTATTGGAAGGAATGATAGGGCATTGCATTCGAACTGATGAGTGGAATGTGAAAATGGTATCCTAAAACAGGAAATTTGCTTCATACGCCTAAGAGGGGAAGGGGCAGAATCGGAACTCCAAAACTACTAGTACGTGTTTCGTTGATGAGAAAAAAATCACAGCACAGCCAGAAAGGAGAATGGGCCAGATGTTTTCAAATTACAGTATTTCAAAAGGAAGATGTTATTTTTTGTTTTGTATTCTCTTAAATCCAAAGAAGGATGGTTTTTGTAGTTCCTTCTGTCATAATACCTTTTAGTTATCCTAAGTCTTAAGTACATTGACACATTTTAAAAATCCTAATTGGCCGGGCGTGGTGGCTCACGCCTGTAATCCAAGCACTTTGGAGGCCAAGGCGGGTGGATCACCTAAGGTCGGGAGTTCAAGACCAGCTTGACCAACATGGTGAAACCCTGTCTTTAAAAAAAAAAAAAAAAAAAAAATCCTAATTAACAATGAGAAATTTTTTAACAATAGGACTTTATGTTGGATTCTGTACTTAAAAGGTACTGTCAGTATCTCACTCTTGGGGATATGAGCTCTAAATATGAAAAGCAAGTTATATGTGTTCACTTGAGGAAGAAGCTGACGGACAAAGCTACCCCTCTTTAAAAAAAAATTCCATGTGTGTGGAATAGCGCTGGTGAAAAATAATCATTGTAGTTAGAATCACATACAGAAAAAAATGATTGAATCCTCCAAGAATGTTTTCCAAAAATGGGAAATGCTATACTTAAAAGAATTCAGAGGAAGAAAAAAATAAAACCACCTCACGTATGTTATTCTTCATCCTGTTCTTCCCATTGGGACTGTTACGGCCATATTCTACACTATAGTAAATTTTAAATTGGCCGCATTTTTTTTTTGTCAGCAAGTTATTATGTAAAATGCTATAAATTATGTGTATGTTAAAGGAGTACTTTAAGAAGAGATCTTTATCCAAAGTTGTTTTTGTATATTTAAATGCTTAGCTTTATTTTTTGTACAGTGCAGCATACTCATATTTGTGTATAATCTTATTGATCAGATGTTTAAAATTACTTCAAATACTTCATTAAAATAATTATTTTATTATAAGAATAACTTTGTTCAGTCACTGACTTTGAAAACCATTGTCCTTAGTAGTTAGCCCCTGATGTGCTCAAATTGCTGGGCAGTGAATTTTCCTAGTTCGGATTGTGAGTTACTTTGGAGTATGAGTATTTTGGTTCCAGAAAGTCACTTTAGATCCAAGTTGTTGTATCACTTTCTTTGACATAGTTGTAAGTTTGCATGCTGTTTGACTCACAAAGAAAGCTAAGCATACTCATTACAAAAGCTTTTCTTGCCCATCAGTGTTTTTTACTAAGGTATTTTTCAAAATTTATTTTTAATATTCATTCTTAAACTTTGTCTTATAAAATATATCTTACATAGAAAAGAATAAGTGTATCCAAGGTATTCTGCGCAGTTTGCAAAATGGTGGCCTTGGAGTAGATTTGATCTACAAATGCATTCTCCTGGACTCACACAGTATTGCTAATATTTTAATTCCTAAGAATCTATATTTCTATTTCTTTGGAAAAATTAAAAGATCTGGAATCACTAGCTATACCCTTTTGTATAGCAACAGTCCACCAGAGCTAACCAGCAGCTGTCTACTTTAGATACATAGGCATGAGTTTACCTTCCCTTGCCTGATTCATTTAGGTATTGGAGTTCATGACCCTCTCCCTTCAATATTTATTTTGCAGCTAGGCCTCACACCTGTAATCTCTAGCACTTAGGGAGGCTGAGGTGGGAGAATTGCTTCAGGCTAGGAGTTTGAGACCAGCCTGGGCAACATAGCAAGACCCCATCTCTACAAAAAATGAAAAAATTAGCTGGCTGTGGTGATGTGCACCTGTAGTCCCAGCAACTGAGGAGACTGAGGCAGGAGAATTGCTTGAGCCCAGGAGATTGAAGCTGCAGTGAGCTATGATCACACCACTGCACTCCAGCCTGGATGACAGAGCAAGACCCTGTCTTAGAGCAAAATGTGGCCAGACATGGTGGTTCACATCTGTAATCCCAGCACTTTGGGAGGCTGAGGTGGGTGGATCACTTGAGGTCAGGAGGTCGAGACCAGCCTGGCCAACATGGCAAAACACCATCTTTACTAAAAATACAAAGTATAAACAAAAAATAAAAAATTAGCCAGATGGGGTGCCGGGCTCCTGTAATCCCATCTACTTGGGAGGCTGAGGCAGGAGAATCATTTGAACCCAGGAGGTAGAGGTTCAGTGAACTGAGATTGCACCACCATAGTCCAGCCTGGGTGACAGAGAGAGACTCCATCTCAAAAAAAAAAAAAAATGTGTGTGTATATGTTTATATACACACATATACGTATATTTATCTTGGGTGATGAACAGGTAAAAAGTACCAGAAATTCTCCATCTGTTCACTTTTTTAAAGCAACTCTACTGAGGTGTATTTTACATAAAAAAATTACCCATTTCATCTATTTACTTTTATTTATTTCTATATTTTAGATACAGGGTCTTACTCTTTAGATACAGGGTTTCACTCTGTCAACCAACCAATGCTGGAGTGCAGTTATGTGATGATGGGTCACTATAACCTTGAATTCTTGGGCTCAGACGGTCTTCCCACCTCAGGCTCCCAAGTAGCTGGAACTACTGATGAGCACCACCTCACCCAGCTAATTTTGTATTTTTTTGTAGAGACGGGTCGTTGCTGTATTGCACAGGCTGGTGTTGAACTCCTGGGCTCAAGTGATCCTCCCACCTCGGCCTCCCAAAGTGCTAGGATTACAGGTGTGAGCCACCACGCCCAACCCCATTTACTTTTTTTTTTTTTTTTTTTTTTTAAGATGGAGTCTTGCTCTGTTGCCCAGGCTTGAGTGCAGTGGTGTGATTTTGGCTCACTGCAACCTCTGCCTCCTGGGTTCAAGCGAATCTCCTGCCTGAGCCTCCCAAGTAGCTGGGATTATAGGTGCCTGCCACCATGCCTGGCTAATTTTGTATTTTTGGTAGAGATGGGGTTTCACCACATTGGTCAGGCTGGTCTCCAATTCGTAACCCCAAGTGATCCGCCCACCTCAGCCTCCCAAAGTGTTGGGATTACAGGCATGAGCCACGAGGCCCAGCCCCCATTTACTTTTAATATGACTGAATGATCTTTTAAATGGTCTCTTCCTGAACATCTTTCATTCTTCTCTTTAAAGTAAAAAAGTAAAGTGTAATATTTCTTAAGACCTGCATTTGAGGAATATTTCATAAGAATTTTGGCAAAACTTTATTTAGAATTAAGAATACTTATACTAGTTAGTCATGGTGACAGCAGAGAACACAAGCAATGTTAAGGCATATTCTTTAGAAAAATATGGAACCAAGACCTCAAGCTGATTATGTTGGACTTTATCTCTTTGCCTAGTTGTACAGTAAGCCAACTGTTTATAAAACGTTCTCCTCAGCAAGACTCAGTGATTGTGATTATGCAGAGTTAAAACTATAATGTGTCATGTTTGTACATGACCTAGTGGTCAGTTTTTATTTTGTTTTTAACATTCCTGTCTTTTTAAACACTTTCATATGCCTCTCTGAACTGAGATAACTATTTTTTTTTTTTTTACATGTGGGCATGATTTATAGCTGATATCAACATCTTTTACTCTTTTTTTTTTTTTTTTTTTTAAGATATAGTTTCACTCTTGTTGCCCAGGCTGGAGTGCAGTGGCGCAATCTCGGCTCACTGCAACCTCCGCCTCCCGTGTTCCAGCAATTCTCCTGCCCCAGGCTCCCAAATTGTTGGGATTACAGGCATGCGCCACCACACCCAACTAATTTTGTATTTCTAGTAGAGACGGGGTTTCTCCATGTAGGTCAGGCTGGTCTGGAACTCCTGACCTCAGGTGATCCACCTGCCTCGGCCTCCCAAAGTATTGGGATTAGAGGCGTGAACCACTGTGCCCGGCCTTCTCTGACTTTTTAATAACACTTAGTATTTTAGTGTGCATTTGAGCTGTATCATATTGGTGCATTTGCTTTCTTGCTGAAATTGTTTCACCAGTTGGAAGCTGGTCCTCAGTAGATATTTTTGTTATTTTTTGTTATTTTTCTTCTGGTAAACAGTGAGAGACTGTGTGGTGCCAAACAAGAAACTGAAAGTGTTGATCACCATATAGCTGAACACTGGCTGGTTAGGTGAGATATGGAAATATAAAGTACTAGAATATGTTACTATACACTATACATAGATGTAGAAAATAATACAGATATATGAAGTAGCATCACAGCCTTTGTAGACCTTGCCACATTGAATATTCGTAGGAAGAAAATATTCCCAAGGAACTCATTTTAAGACTTTTGGCTTTATTGGTAAACCATAATGAGAGCAATTTTAATAGCAACTCTTAATGTTAGGTTGCCATCTCTCCGAGTTCTTTTGCTGTGGGTGATACTGAAGTAGTATTGCCTATGGGTGAGAGCATACCCTGGCTTCCCATCTCAGTCCTGCCTCTTTCCAGTGTGTGACCTTGGCAAATTATTCAACTTTTCTGTGCCTTTGTTTTCTTGTGTATATATAATAGGACCCACTTGTGAGGTGGTTGGGAGACTTTAATGCATTGTCGTATGTAAAGCACTATTCTAAGATTCTAAGTGCTTTATATGCGAACAGTGCTAGAACATATGGTGAACAGTATATAGTCCTGCATCACTTCATGGCAGAGACCTTGGGGATATGTTCTAAGAAATGTATCAGGCAGTTTTGTCATGAGAATATAATAGACTATACTTAAACCTAGATGGTGTAGCCTACAACACACCTAGGTTGTATGGTGTAGCCTATTTCTCCTAGGTTACAAACCTGTACAGCTTGTTATTATAATGAATACAGCAATTGCAACACAATGGTAACTATTTGTGTTTCTAAACACCTAAACGTAGACAAGGTACTATAAAAATACATAATATAATTATGTGGCACATGGCTATGTCTGTTGGTTATTGTTTTACAGATTTTACAGATATATATATATACATATTTTTAATTTTTTTTTTGAGACAATCTTATTCTGTTGCCCAGGCTGGACTGCAGTGGCACTTTCTTGGCTCACTGCAACCTCTGCCTTCCAATTCAAGCGATTCTCCTGCCTCAGCCTCCCGAGTAGCTGGGTTTACAGGTACATGCCACCATGCCCGGCTAATTTTTGTATTTTTAGTAGAGATAGGGTTTCTCCATGTTGGCCAGGCTGGTCTTAAACACCTGACCTCAGGTGATCTGCCTGCCTTGGCCTCCCAAAGTGCTGGAATTACAGGCGTGAGCCACCACACCTGGCCTCCAGTACCATATTACATTGATGAAAGTCACTGGCTGAATGCATGAACCTTAGTGTCTTATTTAAAGATAGCCTTAAGATCATGTGAGATTGATATGTATTGTATTGGAGATTGGGTAATGGGGAAGCTAGAAGGAGAAAGTATGATAATACAGTGAAGCCATTTGACAGAATAATTCTTATGTCTGTGGCTTTGCCTAATAAGTGTTCTGTGGAATCGTAAGCAGTGAAGAAGCCATGCCATTACTTGAAAACACTATAGATACATGGTGAATATTCAGTGAAAAAAGCATAAC